AAGATGATATTTGAATTCTTCTGTTCTTTTTTGCTATTGGGAACTTTCACTCTACAAGTTTTGGTCAGATTTGGCCTTCTTCTCAATTTCAGCAAATGCTTGATTTTCCTATCTAATGTGCAAGGAGCTAAACAGAAGGCTATCCTCCAATGCTTCCCTTCATCTTTGGTTTCCACTAGGCTTGATGACAAGAATATTTTTTTCCCAAAAAAGATTATATCTTATGATACCAGTGTCTTTCTTTTGTTCCAGTAGCTACTGTGAGAGTACTTTTGGCTGTATTTTGATTCATTATGTTTCTCTTTTCCTTCAGAGAGAGTTGAAGAAACCATCAATTGGAAAGGAGTACTTCAATCACATGAATCTTGAAACAATTGTCAAAAAGTATCCATACAGAAAAAATCTACAAGAAGAAGATTTGGCTAAAGGTTATCCCAATCTCCTTAAATCTCTTACACTCACTATTCTCACCAAATCTTTTAAACTATATCTGATCATCATATTTACAACAAACAAACTACAGAGAGTCAAATACGACTAGCACTCATTGATTTCTTGAGGGGACTCGTAGAATTCGATCCAGCCAAACGGTGGTCACCTTTGCAGGTTGTTATTATATACCAGTTTTTGTTCGCATATCAAACAAATCTTCATTTATTAAGAAATTTAATTGGTAACACTTTATATAATTGTTGCAGGCTTCTAAGCATCCCTTTGTAACCGGTGAACCTTTTACTTGCCCTTATACACCTGCTCCCGAAACTCCTCGTGTGGTAACTAATCCATTATTATTTTTATTGTATCTCTTTAGTATCTTTTTTTTTATATATTTTCTGTTTTGCAATGTAGCCCGTTTCTCATAACATGAAGGTTGACCATCATCCAGCTGGCGGTCATTGGTTTGCTGCAGGTCTCTCTCCTAACGTGAGCACTTCTGCTTCTTAACTCCATGTCACTAATTTGACTTTTTTACCCTTTGTAACCAATTTAAAATTTATGTAGGTTCTAGGTGGAAACCGAGTGGCAATGTATAACAACTCTCATTTTCAAGTAATGCCATACGCACACGGGGGCAATTTCGGAAGTTTAGGAAGTCATGGCAGTTACAACGATGGTACTGTACTTGGAAGTAGTTACGGTAGTTATGGAGACAACAGTAACAACATGGTCGCGTATTATTCACCCGTGGGCCCATCAGCCATGAACAACTATGCTCAAGGACACGCCCCAGTTCTTGGTAGTAGCCCGGATGCTAGAAGAAGAATCATGCAAATCCCACATGGAAACGGGTTCGGGTTCAGCCCTGCCCAAGGGAATTTTGCACCCATGTCACTCGGAACCAGCCCATCACAATTCACCCCGCCCTATTCCCAGGTTACAAGCGGGTCCCCCGGGCATTACGGGCCTAGTTCACCAGCTAGAGGGAATCATGGATCGCCTCTTGGAAAGGGAACCGGGAATCAGATGAATAGAAGAAAACCGTGGGGGTATTCTGGGAGTTTACAAACTCAGGAAACAACATCGTCTCCTCATTGGCAAGGACAAGGACAGTTTCCTGATGTTAGTTCGTCCATTGAGAGTTCGCCACCTGTCATGGGTCGTTCTTCAATACATCATCTACAACCAAATTTAAATTCTCAAAACCGGAAGCAACAACCGAGAAGTAGTGGGAATCATAAACAGTTTAAGTCTGAGGCTAGCACTTCGCTTCCTGATCCCGGGGATTGGGATCCTAACTACAGGTAATAATGATTGAGGGTATTAACGTCTTTTTTTATAAATGATTTTAGACAGTTTTATTATGAAAATCTTGTTTGAAACTTGTGTTTCCAGTGACGAGTTGCTTCTTCAAGATGATAGTTCAGATGTGAACAACATGACAGTGGAATTCAGTAAGAGTATGCATCTTAATCAAGAATCATTTGTTGGGGCTGGGAGATTCAATCAGATGTCAACACAACGGTAATTAGTGATTCCGGTTGAACTTATCATTTCATGAAAACAAATTGAGATGTTTTATGGCTTATTATAATTTATAGGCCAATTCAAGGATTCCCACATGGAGAAGGCTCATCCCAAGACATATATGTTCACCCCATGATGACACCTTCCCATTTAATGCCTTCTCATTTCTCACAATTTTCACCGAGTCGATTGGGCCAGCAGCCCGTTCAACGGTTCAATCACGGAAGGTCAATGGGAATCCGCGGGGCAGAATGGAATCATGTAAAACAGGCTCCTCTTTCCCATTTCAATTCCGGAGGTCCTCGTTCCCCTGGAAGCAGTAGTGCACCATGGGGTATTGTTCTTGCTACCTGACCGATTTTGACTTTTTTTGCTTTTATGAAAGTTATACATTGAATTGAAGTCTGGAATTGTGATTCCTTTTTTGTAGGGCGTAGGGGAAACCATCCGATTGCTGCCAATATTCTGCCATCTTCACATGGAGGAAATGAATATGGAAGGATTGCTTGAGGTTGAGGTTGAGGGTGGTGGAAATGGAATTTGAAACTATATATAGAATGAATTTGTCTACTGTTGGCATCATAATTGTTAGTTGAAGTTATGTTGGATGTGCATTCATAGTGATTCTTTAAGTATGGATTATGAAACTTGGTTTCTTCCTATTTCTTTTATTTGTTGGCATGCTGGGATTGTCCTCAACAGTTATTTGTTTGTTTGTTTGTTTAATTGGTTGATTTACTTTTGAAGAATAGTAATTGGTCAATGAGCTCTTTGCTTAGATTAGCAATTTGTGTCGGATCTTGGATCCTTCGTTTGTGGATCCAAGAAGGTCCATTAGTCAAATGGTTGGGGTAAGTGTGCCCAATGCCCATGGCACATGGATGTTTTCAAGTCTTTAAATTTGTAACCATTTCTTTTACCAACAGTTTTCTTTTATAGATTAAAGGGTTTGATATAAGATGATATCAAATGTTATTTGCTTTTTTATAAATTAACGCAACCTACATTGTAATCAGCTAATGTGAAAGAGTTGCTTTTATCATTTTCGTTTACTGTTTTAGGTAATTTCTTATCATTTAGGACTTAAGGTTTGTTATTAAAATGGCTAAATGAAAGTGTGTTGTATTAATTGATTAAATGATAAAGATTTCATGTTTTTTTACTAGATGACCCTAGATTAAATCAAGTTATGCATGTTCTTGGCTAAATTTAAATGTACCAAAAAACAAGAATGTCGCAATGGTTATAGTGGTAAAATAAGGTGGTGAACTTAGTTTTATGGTTTTTTTAGTTCTATCGGTTTGAGGAGTACGCTTTACATTCAAAATGAGTGTTTTAAGTGCTAGTGATCTACGACCATAAGGAATGGAAAGTAAAAAAAAAAACGATGTTACCACCTTATTAAGGCAAGATACCTAAAGTAGAGGGTGGTCACATGAGTGTTGTGTGACAAGTCTTGTTGATACTAAAGGAAGAGTTCTATATAGTAGCAGTTAAGTTGGTTATGTTATTGTAGTCACAAGAATGAAGATACTTTTGGAAGAATATTATTGGATATTATTTCGAATGTGGCAATCAACAATAAGTTGGGAGTTATGTAGATCACAAAATAATTGAAGGAAATAATATTGTGATGGTTTGGACATGTCCATAGGAGACAATTATGGACTACTTAAAGATGACAAATATTATATGGTTGACGAGATGATAAGGAGAGTCGATCAATAAAGAAATGTTAAGATAATTTAAAGTTATAGATTATAATGTTGATATTTTTTGAGGATATTATTTTATATGAGAGACTGAGAATATATTACAGTAGTATAGATCTTAACAACAGTCGATGGTGTAATTATAGTAGATAATAACCTTTTTTTTGTGGTAGAGATAAAAATATATTTCCTTTTAGCAATTTAAATTTATGGTATTAATATAGTTAGAGAAAAAAATGTGTTTATTCAATGATTCTCTAAAGCTACCAGGAGTACCGGTGTTATAGCCGCGCGTGAAGGGCATGATGCGCGTGAACACCACCTGCGGGTGGCGTTATTGCGCATGATGTTATTGGCCGTGGTTCTATTTACACTTAACCACGCCTAACTTCTCTCTCTCTCTCAAATGTACAAACATTAATATACATTGTATAAGTATAAAAAAAATGATGTGGAGTGGTGACCATTTCTTAGGTAAATGGTGGGGAAGTGATAATGACGTGGCGATGTACCGACATTATAGCCGCGCGTGAAGGGCATGATGTACGTGAACACGACCCTCGGGTGGCGTTATTGCGTGTTATTGGTCATGGTTCTATCTAAGCTTGACTATGCCTAACTCCTCTCTCTCTCTCTCTCAAATATACAAACATTAATACACATTGTAAAAGTATAAAAATGATATGGACTGGTGACTATTTTCTAGGTGAGTAAGTGGTGGGGAAGTGGTAGTGACGTGACAATGATGTGCCAACATTTTTGGAGTGGTGGTGTGATGACCACTTTTGATAGCCTAATATAAACTCGATATTTGCTTCTATTTCCTGTATTTTGCAATGACTTTTTTGTATTATTTGTGCGATGTGACCTTATTAGATATATTTCTTTCCTATATATATTAATTACTATTCAAGTATTTATCTACTTATTTATTATTACTACTTTTAATATTAATATTCTAATTCATATATTATTAAAAAAAGAAAAAAATTCTAATTTCAACTTTATACGAATTAAGTATATATGTTGTTAGAATGTTAGTTCAACCAAGTTGGTTTGTAGAATTTTTAACCGAACTTAGTTGAACTCAATTTGCATTATAAATGCATAAAACTCAACTAAACTCATATTCTTATTTTGTTGTAGATTCAAATTATGGTCAAATTTTCATTAGTAGTTTAATCTAGTAGTTTCAAATCAAACTAAACCAAGATTAAGAGACTCAAATATGAGATTTTGAGTTCAAAGTCGGTTGGTTTGAATTCTGTTACAAATTGCAATCATAAACTTCACAAATTCAAATAAAAGAAATCAACTTATAACCGAATATGGGTGCGACTTTATGATGCACAGCCATATGTAAACTGGGACCAATTCCAATTCCCTCCCAACCCATCATCGTCTATCGCACAGATCGACTATCTTTCTCTCTCCACACACCCTCACTTTGCCATTTGCCAACCTGTTAACAATGACGGTGGGTTGTGTAGCGGCTCTGGGTGGCGCTCCACCCCTTCCACCGTCAACTCCGACCAGGTATTCCTGTAATAATGGCGGGGGTTTTCTTCGTCTCACCTTTCCTCCCTTACAAAGATCACGTTTTTGCACTCTGAAACTGGGTGCCACTTCTTCTTCTTCAATCAATCCCTCGTTTCAAGTGAAAAGACGAATAATCAGACCCAACCCCGCTCTAGATTCCGACATCCCTAATCCTGTTGACCAAGAAGACAATGAGCAAGAGGAGGTATGAGCAAAAAATTTCTGCTTTTGATCAATTTGTCGTCATTTCTCTCTGTTTCTTTGAGTAATTCAAACTTGTTTGTAACTTTGTTTCAATGGTGTTCAAAGGCAAGCAAGAAGCAGTTACAGCAATGGGATTCCCTGACAGCAAAGTTCGCCGGAGCTGCAAATGTCCCTTTTTTGTTGCTCCAATTGCCTCAAATCGTACTCAATGCTCGTAATCTTCTTGCTGGAAACAATTCTGCCCTTTTCGCAGTTCCATGGCTGGTATCTATTCCTGTAATTCCCTCATCTTTCCATTTACTATCATTCCCTTTTCTTCACCGGTGAATTTCAAATGGTGGCAGGGAATGTTTACTGGACTTCTTGGAAACCTTTCGCTGCTATCTTACTTTGCAAAGAAAAGGGAAACGGAGGTGGTGGTGGTTCAGACTTTGGGAGTTGTATCAACATATGCAGTCATTACTCAACTCGCCATGGCTGGATCCATGCCTCTACCACAGTTCGCTGCTACTTCTGGTGTAGTTGCTTGTGGTCTCCTCATCAATTTCTTGTATTACTTTAAGTTGCTCAACCACAGGATCTGGAACTTATGGGAGGACTTCATTACTGTTGCTGGCCTCTCTGCACTTCCACAAGTAATAATACATCTGTTGTTTTCTTCTCTCTCCTAGTGGAAAACAACTGTGATATGAATTTCCCAATTTATGCAGGTTATGTGGTCTACTTTTGTACCCTATGTTCCAAACAGTATCTTGCCAGGAATCATATCTTTTATGATCTCTGTGGTTGCTGTCATCATGGTGAGCTTTAGCTATGACTTACTGTTACTTCACTTTTTGAGCATTTTAAGATGGTTCTTCAAAGTTTCATACCATATATTTGCAGGCTCGGATTGGTAAACTTCCAGAAAAAGCAACCAAATTTGTTGGATCAGTATCTGGATGGACTGCTACACTCCTTTTCATGTGGATGCCTGTTGCACAAATGGTACTACATATCATGCTTGTGAATTTAATACACTTGTGTATATATAAGTCTGCAAATTGGTTGGTTATTTGACATGAGTTTTCCGAATTACAGTGGACAAACTTCTTGAATCCTGATAACATCAGAGGTTTGTCATCTTTCTCTATGCTGCTTGCCATGACAGGAAATGGACTTTTGATCCCTCGTGCACTTTTTGTCAAGGATCTCATGTGGTATACTTACTTTTGCATCATCATCATCATGATTGAATAGGCTAATCTAACCTGTAAATCATACTAATTCTTGTGAGATAATCATTTGATTAAAGTTAGCATATTTATTTAATCAATGTATGCAGGTTCACAGGGTCATGCTGGGCATCTTTCTTCTATGGATGGGGAAACCTTATATGCATGTACTTGTAAGGCTTTTTCTTGTTGATGCTTATCTGTAAAATACATAATATTTAACCATTTTCAGCTAGTTTTGTGATAATTATAACTGTGATTATGGATTTAGGTGTGCAAGTATCAGCAAGGAGTTCTTCTTGGCTGCAACGGTTGGCTTGTTTCTTTGGATAGGTTTGCCTTTCAAATCTTTTTGTTGCATGTTAGTCTTATTAAGTGGGTATTCTTAAAATCATTATTGTGACTTCAAGAATCAGAATTAGATATAAGATAATGATATAATCTTTTGATTAAAGTTAGGTATGGTTGGTTAATTTTATGTTTATTAGCAAATTGCAATAAATAGCAACGTACCTCACTCTTGCTACCACTATTGGTAATGTAGTTTATTTTTTCACTATAATAAGATAGTTCTATTTTTTTTGCCCATGATAGTATCTTACCTACATTTTTTTACCGATAATAGCAGTATATTCTACTTTTTACTAATATCAATGTACTTATAATTTTTTACTCATAATACAAACATTATTGCATTTCGCTACCAATATGGGCAATGTACTTTACTTATTACATATTGCTATTATCAGTAAAGAAATATAGCAGTATTGCTATTATGGATAACGAATTGCAAGTGTGCTATTAATGTGTAAAGAAATGTAAAAACGTTGCTATTGTTTGTAAAAAGATATTAGTACATTGCTATTATGGCTGTTAAAAAAGTACATTACCTTTATTGGTTAAAAGATTAAAGTATGTTGCTATTCTTTGCAATTTTGCACTGCATTTATCTTCAGTAATCAGTTTCTTTGCAGCAACTCCTCAAAACCAGAATTTTTTAAGCATAATCAATTTTGCAAAACACTACACAACTGAATATTGTGACGCCCATCCAAAGTCCAAACACCCCCATAATAGCACATGGAGTCAGTTATGAAAACCTTTCTTTTTTCATGTCAGGTTTTGCACTATGGAGTGACAGCAAGGCGTATGGATTCAGTTCCCCAGTGACATCTGTAAAGGTGCTATTTTTGGGATCATAGATGATAAAACATTCACACCCAAGTGAATAATGTGCACGTGCTTCAAATCTTGTGTGGAGATTCTTGGAAAAGTGGATGATATATTGCCAATTTGCCATGACATCAAAAGGCATAACATGCAAATGTCTCTTCTCTGGCTCATAAGATGGCCAGTTGGTCTGAGTCAATCAGTGAACTCAGACCTGGCATACTGATTACTGATCTTCAAGGAGGAAGCATAGTGTAGATAGTTTTAGCATTAATACAATGTGTAAAGTTTATAGGGTTGTTATTCCACATGTAACCTTAACTCTTACTATGATCAATGTCAAGTTTTGGATACCAATGTGTTCTGTTTGTTTACTTTGTGTTTATATTGAAATTTACCTGAAAAGGGAATTGGAAAGACACTTGAACTTAAACATAGGGTGTGATGTTAATACCCTCTTCTTCTGTGATGTTAATACACTTCATTGACCACGTTAAAGCACTTCCATTTTCTGATATTAATGCACTTCATTGACCACGTTAGTGTTCCATTGATAGACTCTTTCTGCTTTTGTGAGTGTAGTCAATAAGCCTAACTGATATGATATACATGTGAGTTTATTCTAATTGGCAACAGTTGCCTTGCTTTATAGAGCATTGTTGATGTTGATTGTTGCATTGCTTTCTAATTGGCAACGGTTGAAATTTTGACCAAATGTGCTATATTTGAAGTATGATATTTTCACCAAAATTGAAATATAATTTATAAAATTAGGACCAAATATTTTGACCGGATGAGCAAGAAGAAAACAGATCATTAAATATAATTTATGATATTTTAAACCTAAACCAGAATGGACCGTAAAATGATATTTGGGTAAATATGATATGTTGAAAGTTTATGAAGGGTATAGATGATATTTTAAACTTTAATTTAAAAGAAGAGTATAATCGTTTGATAAAGTAAGTAGTTAAAATGATTGTTAAATGTTTAAAAAAAGATTAGGGCAAATCTAATATTTTGAAAATTTATCAAAAATAAATGTGATATTTAAAAATTAAACTCAACAAATAAAATATTATGATGAGAAACCCATAGAAAAGCTCTATCTATTATTCTCCAATGTTTGGAAAAAAATCATTATATTACTATTATTTTGTACAATAAAACCATTTATTTTCTGGTCATGTTTAAAAATAATGTTTTGTAACCGGAAAACCATTGAAAATCAGTTACCTAGCATTTGTGGTTTTAGAAAAACTCAACTTATTATCCTCAAATACACGAAAAAACCATTATGTTATTATTTTGTACATCAAAACCATTTTATTTTCTGATTTTGTATAATAAAACCATTTTATGTTCCGATTTTGTATAATGAAATAATTATCTTCCCTTTATGCCCCACATTTTTCTCTTGACAAATGATAATTGGTAAATTTTTCTTAATTACACAAATGAATTATAGGTTATAAATAATACAAACTAACCTCAATGCCAATTAATCCCGAACAATGTGAATGCCATGGGGAGATGAGATACATGGCAATATGTTTGTACATTACAATAAATATGCACTTAATGTCTTGGCTTTCAGTCGACCCATGATTTAACAATACTTTGGATACTAATGAGAACGAGATAAGACATCTTATCTCTTCACATGATAGAGATTAAGTTGGAGTAAGAGGCTTGAGCTTTTGAAGGGTTATGCCTGAGCTTTTTGTATTATTTTAGACATAAAGTAAAATGATTTTATAATAGCTAATAATAATAAAATAATTTTACTTATATACTAAGTTCAACTGTTCAACCTTCAAAAATACTTCTACCTTTTTCTTGCGGCCAATGATAGAGCGCCACATCAGCCATGAGTTGCATCGGCCGGGAAAGCAAATGGAAGTTGCAATGGAAGCGTAAAACCACTTGAGCAGAGGCCAGAGGCGGTACACAGCATACTGACACAGGGAGCAGGCACCGGCATGATCGATCGACGGTGAAGATTCCGATTTCGACTCCGATAATTTAGTATTATAAGAAATTAGATCTGGATGGGTTGGGGAAGGGCGATTTACGAAGGAGTCGTGGTGGTTGGTTCTCTTTCGCTGCTTGCCTGGGCGGGTCTCTGGTTTTTGAACCGGAGACTATACAAGGAGTACGAAGAAAAACGGGCGCTGGTTCAGATCATCTTCAGTGTTGTTTTCGCCTTTTCCTGCAACCTCTTCGAGCTTGTCCTTTTTGAGATCATCCCTATCCTCTCCAAAGAGTATGTTCACTTTTCTACCAATTTTTCTAGTTGCTTTTCATCTCCAGTTTATACAGTCTGTTATTTTATATGCTGCTTTTGTTGATGCATTTTCTTATTTGTCCACACAACGAAGAAAAAAGCTTCCCGAGGACGAATCCCCAAAATGTTAAAATGTGTGGTGGATAGACGATAGGAACAGCTTGAAATTGGAAGTTCCATTTATGTGTTTCGTTTGATGATGAGTAGTGTCAGTTCATAACTGCAATAGTTCTAAAATTATTCAACAAGAAAATGTCCTTACAGAATGTTATTTCACTTGATCTTGAGGAAGTTAATTCCTTTGTTTAGGGTTACTTCCTGTTTCATCTTTCCAATACTTACATAACTGGCAACATTTACATTCATGATTATGACTATAATGGTGCTGCAGGTAAGACCACATTTATAGAAAATCTGATATTTTTCTATTCCTTGTAGGGCAAGATGGATAAACTGGAAGGTGGATTTATTTTGCTTGATTACATTACTGGTTTTCATGTTGCCTTATTATCACTGTTACTTGATGCTTTGCAAAAGTGGTATGTATACTTAAGAACACACTTATATGCCCAATATTCTTAAGCAACTCTGTGTTGATATCAGGTCCAAGAGTGTTATTTGTTATTCACTAAATCTTAATTATGTGTGACAGGCGTGAGGAAGAGGCGAGCTGCAACTGGAGCTGTTTTATTCTTGTTTGCATTTCTGTATGCTTTTTGGCGATTGGGAATCCATTTTCCCATGCCTTCACCTGATAAAGGTTTAAATCTATGCTAATTGCTTTGATATTTCCCTTCACCACATTTCCATTTAGGGTTCTACCTATTGACATGTTGATGTTGTAATTGTAATGCATCTACTCAGGATTTTTCACCATTCCACAGCTCGTTAGTAGAATTGGAGTAATCGGTGTGACTGTCATGGCTGTCTTATCTGGTTTTGGAGCTGTGAATTTGCCATACAGTTATTTATCTCTCTTCATTAGGTAAGATGACAATGAAATTATAAGATTTCAATCAATGTACAAAGACAAAATTCTTTAAAAACCGATCAAGTGAGAGCTTTTGCTTCTGTGTAAAACTGAAATGAGTATCTATATTCTTTGACTGTGAAGTGTGAACCTACTTTCTGATATTATTATTTACTTCATTCATTGTGGAAGAGAAATTGAAGAAATAGAAATCAAGGCTTTGGAAAGACAATTGATGCAGTCAATTGAGACAAGTATTGGAAAGAAAAAGAAAATCATTCTTAGCCAAATGGAAATGGAGCGAGTTCAAGGACAAGAAGAGGTTTGATTACCTTGCATCATCAATCATTCAAAGCTATTATCTGTTGTGTTCAAACTTTTACTATATAAAATACATACCTCTTTAGATGAAATGTCATTTCTTAATGATAACCTGTTGTACTAAAATATTTGTTGCAGAGTTATAAGGCGGGATCCTTTTTCAAGCGGATTGTTGGAACAGTTGTGCGTTCTGTGCAAGATGACCAAAAGGAACAAGGTTAGAATGAATCCCAATTTCCATCAGCAATGATATAGCCTCTCTTGAAAAAAAATTAACATTAAGGTGAATGTATTTTTTTGTTGTTGAAGATATTAGAGGCATGGAATCAGAGGTACAAGCCTTAGAAGAGCTCTCAAAACAGCTTTTCTTGGAAATCTATGAGCTACGCCAAGCTAAGGTATTTTTTAAATTGTTATAATTCCCTTTTCTAATTACTTATATTTGTACCTTGCAAACAAATTTCACCTTATCGTTTTTCTCTTTTTTGTTGCTTCGCTTTTTGGGTACTTGAGTTATATCTTAAAATCTTATTTGCCAACACTATTAGGAAGCTGCTGCATATTCTCGCACATGGAAGGGTCATTTGCAGAACCTACTTGGCTACGCATGCTCAGTATACTGTGTGTATAAAATGATAAAGGTATCAATACATGAACTCTTATTGGGAATTTCTTTAACTCTCTCTTAAGTTTCACTCTTACACTTTACATGTCCATTTTATTGTTAATGTAGTGTTCCAGTTTATCACCATTTTCATACCCATCTGTAGTTTTACATTACTACTTTTTAGTTCTGTTATCAGCATTGGTTTTAAATTGGTGGTATGAAATAACCCTAAGGACACGGTGTATATATGCACATAGTTTTACATCACTAGTTTGTATAATGTTTGTCATCTGATTGTTCCAATTGTTTTTTGCAGTCCTTGCAAAGTGTTGTCTTCAAGGAGGTGCACATCTTTATCCTATTACTTATTTTAGTAAAGACTTTGTAATTTGTATTGCATTTTCTGTTTTGGTATTCTAATAATGTTCTCTTCTATTTCACAGGCTGGATCAGTTGATCCTGTGACTAGGACAATCAGCATATTCTTGCAGTTCTTCGACATAGGCATTGATGCAGCATTGTTGTCACAGGTTCTTATTATAAATTAATTACTAAAACAAATACAGTATTTTATTCGTGTCATGATTGTTTAAATCTAACATGTCTTGTACAAAACAGTATATATCCCTCTTATTCATCGGAATGCTGGTTGTGATATCTGTTCGTGGATTCTTGAATAATCTAATGAAGGTAACCCTAGTTCCTCATTTTTTCCGTTTTATTCCTAAATTAGCCTTGAAATTGTTTGATAAGGTGTTGTTTTTTTTATTGTATATGCAGTTCTTCTTTGCAGTTTCTCGAGTTGGTAGTGGATCTTCAAGCAATGTTGTGCTTTTTCTTTCGGAAATCATGGGGATGTATTTTGTATCTTCTATTCTTCTGATTAGAAAAAGCCTAGCAAATGAATACAGGTATCAAAATTCAAAATACATTTGGTAATTTCAACCCATTTATTATTGATAATGAAATGAAATGCTTACTGAATTTTTTTTTTTTTTTTTTAAAATTTTACAGAGTAATCATTACAGATGTATTGGGTGGAGACATTCAGTTTGATTTCTACCATCGATGGTTTGATGCAATTTTTGTGGCAAGTGCTTTCTTGTCTCTGCTTTTGCTCTCTGCACATTATACATCACGTCAAGCTGAGAAACACCCGATCGATTGATTGA